ATGGTAAAGCTAATAAAAATAAAAAACGAAGGTTCATAAATAAAGTCAAAAAGGATAACATTGTGAAAAAATATGATTGTAGTCTGTAACAGTGAGCACCAGATTATAATCCTCCATGAAATCGTTGTTTCATAGTTTGTGTGGGGGCTAGGATACTGCTGGAGGCCCAGACCAAAACAGGTAGTTGTCTCAAAAGACCGCCCTCTGAGCCTTTGACTTGAAGCCTGATCCACAAGAGAGTGGAGCAGCGTCCCCATGGATCCCGGTGACCTAAACAGGTTCATACGCCATTTGATCCTCCCGGATTCTGGATCTCATGTGCACCATAGGTTTGGAATCACGGCTTTCCAGATCCCCTAAGGTGAACCAGCATGTCCACCAGTCCGGCTGTAAGCGCCAGCCGTTCACATTTTTCCTTCACTTCTATGAAGAACACCCCACCGCGTAAAGGCAGTGGACAGGACTTACCTGGCAGAGACCATGAACACGTGACCACATGAGAATGTTTCGTGAGGAAGACGGAGTCTACCCACCCTTGGCCGTACCAGGTCATTTATGCGGGTGGGTCTGCATGTCAACCTTTAAAAAATGTATACACAACAATGTAAAATATTCAGTTGAAGTCCTACCAAAATCTATGAATTACTTAAAAACTTTTTTCCTCGCTGTTACTTGTTTTTAATTTAGCTTAGGAAAGAAATGTTTTCAATTTATACACAATTTTAGGATATCAAAGCGAAGATCAGGAAAGCAATTCAAGCTTTCATTACTCTCAAGTCTGTGTGGAGGTCAACAGCACTACTCAGCATGAAAAATAAGATCCGGATTATCAACTCCAATGTGAAGTCAGTGCTACTATACGGATAAGAGATTTGGCGCGTCACGAAGGGAACTTCGAAAAAACTACAGACTTCCATCAATAGCTGTCTTCACTCAGTGCTCCAGATCAGATGGTCAGAAAAGACCAACAACAGGGATCTTTGGGAGCGAACCGACCCAGCAGGAATCAATTGTGCAACAAATATGCAAGAAGAAATGGAGGTGGATTGACTATACTCTGAGAAAACCATCAAGTGACATCACACGCCATGCTATGTTGTAGGAATACGGCAAATAGCCGTTGAAGGCTGGAGAAATGACTGCATTAAAGGCTTCGAATCACGCATACCCTGTAGGACTGTTAGTGTACAGTCAATGAAAAATTTAAGCGCATACTGCAGAAAAATATTATATATATATATATATATATATACCACATAGCGATAGGGTATCGTTGGCGCGGGTCAATGTAAGACTGTCGCTCCTTCTGGAACACGTGCGTAGACTCTGATCACGCTCTGGTTCGCGCACGTTTATGCTTACGGCTGAACGGACATAAGAAATTGATGGCAGCGAAACAGTTACGTCCCCAACTAGATCAAGACACTGAGTCCCTATTTAAGGAAGAAATAGCGAAACGAGTGTCTGAGGTCGACAGCAAAACTTCCCCTGAGGTAGCCTGGCACAACATACAGTTAGCTGTAGACACAGCTGTAAAAGCTGTTAATAAGCTAAAGCCAAAAGTTAGTAAGAACCATTGGATCTCTACCGCCTCATCCGAACTGATTGAGGCAAGAAGACTGATTCCGGCGAGCTCCGACTATGATGAGGAGCGAAAGCTACTCAAACGAAAACTAACAAGAAGCTTTCGCAACGACCGTGAACAGTATTGGGCAACAAAAGCAAAGGCGATGGAAAAGACAACGGCGATTGGCAAAACCAGACAACTATTTAGACTTACCAGGGAAACAGGTGATAAAAGGCAAATGATAAGTGAAACAATCTCTGAGAAAAATGGCACAATAATTAGCTCCCAGGATAGACGATTGGAACGCTGGAAAGAACACTATGAGGAGCAATTTAATTGGCCTACAGCCACGCTCAACCTGCCGACCATCCAACACCTCCCTGAATGGGATATAGACACAGGTCCTCCGTCCTTAACAGAGGTTACTAAAGCTGTCACTAGTCTGAAACGAGGCAAAGCAGCAGGACCTGATGGAATGACTCCAGAGGTATTTAAGTACGGTGGAGACAGTTTACTATCTGGGTTAACTGAGGTACTAGGGAGCGTCTGTGAATCAGAGGAAGTCCCATTGGGTTGGTGTAAGTCTCTGATTATCCCCATATACAAGAAGGGAGACAAGTCTTCCTGTGATAATCACAGAGGGATTAGCTTGACTAATATAGTATCTAAAGTCCTAGGTTCAATAATCATGCATAGACTAAGTGGTGCTCGGGAGGCACAAACACGAGAAAATCAGGCAGGTTTTAAACCAGGAAGAGGGTGTATTGATCATATCTTCACCCTCCGACAGATTCTAGAACATAGGCATTCTTAACGGCGTCCAACAACCATTATATTTCTTGACCTAAAGGCGGCATTCGATTCTGTCGACCGAGAGGTACTCTGGCGATGCTAGGCTGTGAGAGGAATATATTGCACTGATCAAGGCAATCTACTCGAACTCATGCAGCCAGGTGGGGGCTTACGGTGAGTTGTTATCTGAAGTGGTGATGACTAGTGGTGTCCGTCACGGATGCCCATTATCCCCATTCCTATTGAATTTCATCATAGATGTACTAATGGATTTAACTCTAACTCACTTCAGAGACTTATGGATTGACTGGCTACCAAGGAATAATCTCGTTGACTTAGAATATGCAGACGATATAGTCCTTCTAGGCGAGGAGGCTGACAAAATGCAGAATCTTCTGAACACCTTGAGCTGCAATCTAAGAATGTTTGGCATGCGACTCGCTCCCGCCAAATGTAAGAGGATGTTACAGGACTGAACTACACTGACTCCTAGTTTAGAAATAGGGAGTGAAGTGGTAGAGCACGTTGACCGCTTCACTTATTTGGGAAGTACCATCAGCCCCAACGGGTTGATCTCTGACAAAATCTCAGCACGGATATAGAGGGCTAGTTTGGCATATGCCAGTTTATGCCGTCTCTGGAGTAGACGTGATATCCGACTATCGACCAAAGGGCAGGTGTACTGCTCAACAGTCCGCTCCGTCCTCCTTTATGGTTGTGAGACCTGGCCATTGAGAGTGGAAGACATGAAAAGATTAGCTGTCTTCGATCATAGGAGTCTGCGTTCTATCTCCAGTGTGAAGTGGTATAATAAGTTGAGCAATATTGAGGTTAGGCGTCGAGTGCTAGGTAAGGCGGGGAAATCAATCGACGAAACTGTGAAATTACATCGACTGAGATGGTTAGGACATGTGTTACGTATGCCTAGTCATCGCCTTCCTCAACGGGCAATGTTAGCTGACATAGGATCAGGCTGGAAAAGAGCTAGCGGCGGTCAAACCAAAACATGGCACCAGTCAATGAAATCTACAACAGTTAATCTAAGCCACGTAGGAAGGTGTAGACTTCCTGGTTGGGGTCCTCGGGACTGTAAAAACCAATGGCTGGAAACAATTGGTGACATGGCTCAAAATCGTTCTCAATGGCGCAGATGCATCCACTCCTTGTGACTCATGATTTCCAATGAAACTGTTTTGTTCTTCGTTATTACTATTCCTTTGTCTCACACCTCTGTTTACTGTCTCTATTTTGCATTTCTCCTACTTTCTTCTCTTGCTTTGTGTGCTACATGGAGTGTGGCGACTTGAACTGCTGCATATCGGTGCAAAGTTCCATGTTGAATATATATATATATATATATATATGGAGAGAGAGAGAGAGAGTAAGGAAAACAGATCATGCTTAAATCAGATTGCGTGGTGGAGAAACATATCACAGCACTGTCACGTTGCACAGCAAAATTATATGATCAAACCAGCATTCCTACTGATGTGCTTATCATTACCAACACAAATAAAGTTTCTGAGTATTTTACACTAGTCAGTGGAATGAATTTCCATACACGCTGTTCACAGATTTGATCCCAGCAACTGTGTCTCAAGAACATATTACAAAACTTCTTATAGATTTGGTGACTACAATGGCAATTACATCATATTCGATGCAATCTATAATTTTCAGTAATTCAGTTATATTATATTAATAGGTCTACGTCATAATACACTCAAAAATAATAGTTTCGCAGATGAAGTGTCGATAGAAAGGAAGACTGCATATTTTGATTTGCTACTGTAATCTATTGGTACCAAAAATCTCAGTATATTTGTAAATGGTAAGATACATCCACACGCTCAGTTTATAAAACATAACACCAACGAACGTATACATTCAACTTCATCAAACTCTCTGTCTTTAGAAAGGTTTCGCGTGCATTTCGGATTGTGAGGGCGATTGTTACTTCCAGGCTGCCCACACCAGTGAAGTTGGTTGCGTGACCGCAGAGCCCAGAGGACAACTGGTTGAGGCTGGTCACACGTGGCCTGTTTTTGTTTGTTCTTTTTTATTTGGTTCGTCTCAGTAGCATATTTATCACTTCTGCCCTGTGACACGGCAGCAGGAAGTGCGGTCGTTGTTAATCCGGGCCCCGACCGATCCGGCATGATATTTTGTTTGAGTCATAGCACTGGATTGGGTAACTGCTTTTCGTCTAATCGCTATCCAAACAACCTTTTTGGCATGGTAGGACCTCAAGCGACATAAGTCTCAGCCAGTATAGCTTGTTGGGTCATTGCGGTGTTCAAGCCCGACCACCACGACAAGGTAGCAGCTTTCGGTCGGGACTTCATGGAACTGGAAAGTCATAAGAAATACAAAGACTCAGCGTGATTCGGATTTTCACGTGATAGCACGTGAAGGAAGGTATTACCAGATAATTATTTAAAAGACAGTAACTAAAGTTAGTTTTATTACTAGCAGATGACTCAAATTCGATTTTCTGCTGACAGTGTGCTAAATGCATCGTAAACAGTTTGTGGTTGTACAATCTACAGTTTACAGTGCAGTGAATCACTCAGCAATAACCAGATTCACTATAGTACATCTCTACAATAATACATTAGAATGAGACACCAGGATAACTTACAGGCCAAGAAATATAATTCGCATTGATGTAATCAGAACCTGGTTCATTCGGATCACCATCAAGGAGTTTGACTTGAGACCAATCAAATGGAAGAATATGTTTATAACGATTCTTGTCACGGTTATAAGACTGGTATCCTTCGACGCGTGGATTATTTTTTAACTAGTGGAAATCAAAGACACACACAAACATACTTCAAATGAGTACAAAACATTTCACTTGATTATTGGTTTAAAAATTTCATGTGCATCAACATAACGAAACATCTGTTCCTTGAGAAGAAAATCAAACAACAACAAAATTCAGTTACTAAAATGAAACGGATATTAAAATACAAAAGTACTAATTTCATGGTTTGCGATACACCGATTAAAAGCATCTTTTGAAGTACGTAAATTAAATGCTGACCAATTTACGCTGTGATTAAGAGCCTGTGTTTTCTACTTCTTTCCACATTTTACTGAGGTGTATCTACAACATTGAGGTAATTGACAAATCATCAAAGATTAATCCGATCACCGAAATTTTCATCACTGAATGAAATTTTAGTACAATAAAGGTAAACTCAGAAATCAATAAACGCATTACAGGGCACACTGAATTAAACCTTTCAACAGATCTATATATACAACGACTTAATTCTAGAAAAACCTTAACCCAGTTAATAAATGCTATAAAATATATTTGGATCAGTAAATATTACACTCAATTCCATAAAAATTTCCCCAATACTTTGCCCAGAAATCTTGCAATACCAGAAATATATTTCGACAACATAATTGGCTGAAGGCACTTGTTCAACTCCTTGGCTGATACAGCGGATATAGAAGTGCAACTACATGAGTTTGTATCTAATGTTGCTAACATAGCAAACAGTAAACTTCATCTGAATGAATCGTAAAAACATACCGAAACTTATAGTCACCCAGCAACTGATTAAAAGCAAAAAATGTTGTTACATATTAGCCTTACACTGTTCATACTACTAGCAGAAAAAGATTGCATAAGAACATTAACAGAAATATACACCTTACTGTAAAACAATAACCCCCTCAATGCTTCGTGTTCCACTACAATGTTCTTCACTACTGAAAATACCTATAGTCCAATCCCGGTAAACTTCTTGAATTTATCATCGCAAAAGGTACGATATCACAATACTTAAAAGTAAATGGTTGTGATATATACTCAGTCTTTGGCAAACAGACATTATGTTAAAGCTTCAAACGGTGCTTAGACAGAAGTACACAGAAATATTGATATCTCCACCAAGTGTAATGAAAGGGAAATCCCTTTTGATATCGGTGTTAGTCCCAGCAGTGCGAATTTTTTCATGAAATTTAAGAAATAATATAAAATGAAGATTTATAATGATTTTATCAAACTTTACACACAATTTTGCCATCCCCATATTTCACAAAACGATCATCAAAACGTGGAATAGTAATTTATCTTCATCTATTGCGTAACATGAATTTGTTTAATTTTGTAAGTCCTCCTCACCATCTGTCCACAACCTTACACGGCATTAAAGCTAAAAATTTACTACACATTTCACACCAATGCTATAGTGAAATATAACAATTTTTTAAAAATCAACTAAAAGAATGCTGAAATTTACATGAGCCTCCTGATGCAACTCTTCAAATTCCTCCAAAAATCCGGCCAAACCTGAACCATGACCATTTTCTTGTTCTAACTGACGCATGCGCTGATCAATGGTGGAAACGTTAAATCGAGTAGCATTGAAAGGCTAATAGAAAAAAGCAAGTGGTTAGAATATTGAAATGAATGGAATTTCTAAATATATGTCATCGAATTAATTTAAGGAATCTAGAGGATATAAGTGTCGTCAATGAGGCAGATGATTTTTCATTAAAATATCTAATGGCTGAGATTCTAAGGATGCTGAGAAGTTTTGTGATGGGTTAAAAACCCTAAATAATAGCGCAGACATATTCACTCTTAGTCATATTTCAAATTATCGAGACCTTCAACAATTTTCATTTACTTATTTTTTTCTCTCGTACACATTTGTCTATTGTATTTCCATTACATTTTCTTATCTACTTTGGTATGCTTTCTCAGAGTGTGGAAGCTTGGAAGAAGACAATTCTGCGCTATAAAGACAATGAATCATGGAGTTATTTTGGGGAAAATCCGAAAACAAACTTGGTCCTAATTCCTTGTTTTAATAGACACACTAACCAGTGCGAAAAGTATCTAAGTCAGATTTGTTTTACCACCCTGTTAGAAAAATATCGTAAAATACACACTCATGGATGTCCAATAACTGTCTAATTCATTTTGCTATTGTTTATGCGGACCAATAAATTTTATTCGTGAAAACTTCAGATAATAACTAAGCGGGAATCGATTTGGAAAGAAATGCATCAGTTCAAGTTGCCACACTATAAAGGGACACACATAAAAGAAATGCACCCAAAATACGACGAATGGAAGTGTACAGGAGAAAAATAATTTGATTATAAGTTAACAGTTGTGAAATCTGGGTAGTAACAATGAATGCTGATGTTATTGGTTTTGAGTCACCAACATTTTTAACATCCCGAGAACTCCTACACCAACCCGCTTACGTTTCAGGACCTATGAAAGAGTACATACTGTTCTATGAACCTTTGATCAGACCTGAAGTCTGTATAGTACTCTTCGATTTATCTTCCCTGACCCCTAATTTTTCTTCGTAGGTTCACTGAACTAAGAATCTTGCATTAACATAACGGTCAAGTCGATCCCCTGTGATTACCACAAGAAAATTTGGTTCTTTTCTTGTAAACAGGAATGACAAACGCTCTACACTACTTCGAAGGAGCTATTCCAGATTCCCACACACTAACTAGTACCCAAGTTAATCTAGACAGTAATTCGTCACCAACATTCTTAAACACCTCTTAGGTAATACCGTTAGGTCTTACTGTTTTACCTCGTGTAATATTACGGAGTATGTCTACATTCTTCTAAAGCTAGAGTTGGTTAGAGGCTTGGTGGACTACCTATTAAAGTGTTCATCCCAATGTTCCAGTTACCTCTCTTGAGAAATTACTGAAGTCCCATCTTTCTCAGAGATTATTTTACTTACCGTGGTTTTTGTAAAACCCAATTCAGTAATGAGCTTAAGTAATTAACTGATACCAACCAATGGTGATGCCTTCTGCATATTTCTCGCTCTCGTACTCACTACTGTTTGTAGTCACTGCAAAGAAATTTGGTCAACTCACAACTCTGGGTAGATTTCGCTCTCCGTGTTCGGAGCCTGCTGGGATTACTCTCCTTACATGAATTTGTTCGGATGAAGCTGCAGACTTCATATGGCAATTACCAACATCTACGTATAGGTGTTCAACGGTGGACTGAATATAAATTTAAACTTCCTCAAGATGAACCATTCTACGATGTTCAGATGTTTATCTTATCTATCTCTCTGAATACACACCTTACAATACGTAAATAGCCTACAGTTGCTCCTTTCATATCGTTTTTGTCGTAGGCATACACATGCATGTACTAATACATGATAGGATTCCACACCAGTATTCCGGAAGGAAAGACCACGAATCTTTTCAGTCGGTAAATTATGGTTAATTGATCTATTTGTGTTCATCGTTGGCTCGATATCAGTGAGACGAAACGACTTCCCTCCTTATGTTTTAAATCAACACCGGAACCAATGGTTTCCTGAACCGACATTTAAAAGACTGCCGTTGTCCCCAAACAAAGGCATCATAGATTAATCCTAGACACTTAAGTGAGTACAGATAGGACTAGCATTTCTCAGGATGAAGACATTTGGTTTCCTTCAATTGTTCATAGCACCTAGCCAATAGAGATTCCAAATGAATTGATGAAGAGTCTACAGAAATGCAGGTACCATCAAGGCACACAGGTCATGCTGCTATACCACATAATATAGCGTATATCATCTGTTGAAAGATGGTGGACGCTTTTTAGTCTTAAATGGTAGTCGAACATATTTAGAAAGTCCACGGTGTGTACCAAACATCAGTTCAGAAAATTTGGTAGAAAGTCTATTTATAAGATGAATTAGATTACAAACTACGATGACGAAACGTTTCGAAACCTTAGAGAAATAAGAGAAATTACTATGAAAAAAAATTAGATGTTATTCAAAACTTCGCATCTTCACAAACCACATTCATTGGGCATACCAACCTGTAAAACGCTTACCTGTTTCAGTGAAACTAATCCTCCATTTTTCTCGACCATAGGTGTGTTTGTGTAAAAGTCGATTAACTCCTTTAAAGAGGAAAACTGATGTCCTCCACCAACATCATACATTCCATTTGGTTTCCCATGTATCATAATATGTGCCACTTGTTCTCCTGTCAAAACTGACAGGACATAAGAACCTGGTCTGTGAACAGATTCACGAACCAAAAAGCAATCTGGCTTCCCTCGTTCTAGAAGCATCTTCTCAGCTTCTTTCCCTGTAATTTTGCCGTGAAACCAACTATTAAAAAAAGAATTATTTCATGAATTCAAACACTGTACTACCAAACAACATAAAAGAAATATATGAATAAATATTTGGTGATTAGAGACGTGGTATGTAGTTGTTGTATTTATTTGTGCTCTATTCAAATAAATTATATATATAAACTCCGGACCTTTATAGACCCAAAATTTATAAGTGTTTTAAAATAAGCAACTTATAAAAGACTTGAACTAAGGCGAAGGATGAGTGACTGTGGCATAGAGTAAGGTAGTTTAGTCATTCCTCTGACAGATCAATGTAAATTTCAATGCAGAAAAGCCGCAAGTGACTGACCTTAAGCTCAGTAGTCACACAAAACTAATCCATTTTCTCTTTTATGTACCAAAAAGGCCAACTTCCACTGTATGGGTAACCAAAAAGTACAAACAGCTATACACATTTTAAACAATACACCAGATAATTCTACTTTCCTTAAATTTCTGCAAAGTTACTGAAGCAACTCAAAAACCCATGTAGAACTAACTATTAGAGATTCTTCGAAACATGTTTCGAATTGGTGTCCAAAGGCATAAGTGTATAAGTTTTACCATTATTCAGATTTTGAATGTGGTCGTCTTTTGGTGTGATTAAATTTTTCTCTATATGCGCTTCACCGAGGTAATGCAACTAAATCAAACACTTCGGTGCAAAAATCTACGGTGATCATTCTCGGTCAGGGCTAGTGAAATTTTAACAAAGCAATGAGAACACATGATGCAGGATAAAAGTGATTCATTATTTCATGACTATCTCAATCTCGGCAAGTAACATCAAATCCGAACACAGAAATCAAGATGTGATACTACAGTTGAAAGACGACACGAAGTCATTCCCAAGTGCATATATGAACAGTTTAGCTAACTTAAGCCTATCAACGTAGTCATCATTTTATATACATTCCTATTCAAACTGTCAAGGAAAATGACTGCTCAATTAAGCAGTCATATGCATTATTATGCATAGAGGAGATATTAAGCTGGGGGTGGGACAGTAAATATGATATTTGATACTAGAATTCGGAGAAACAACCATAAAAGTGTGCGACATCAGGATTCAAACTGACGAATTTGAATCTATACAAAAACTGATACTCACCGTTCTGTAGTAGGGTCCTCAGAAATGAGTGGATACTTGAGTTCAATAATATCACCATTTTTCTCTCTGAGTTGACCCTCATTCTCCATATAGTATGTAACTAACTCCGACAATGTGGCAAACTTTTCTCCACCATATAAGTCTAGGAATTCTTCTGTGTTCTGTATACGGATGTGTGTAACTTCATCACCTCGACGAACTGAAAGTGTGAAGCTTCCCGGCGTGCTATGACTAGGACGAGCAAGAAAGCTACCACTAACACCTTTTAGGGTTAACAGTTTTTCAGCTTCTAATCCAGTTAAGTTATGGTGGAACCATCTGTAGAAGATAACAACAAGACGAAATGACTTGCGTAATAACAACTTCACTTTCATTTGATTAAAGGCAGATTACCGAATAAACAGCTAAACTTGGAATCAGTCTTCAGTCTTTGCGGTAACATGCGAATTATATTTATCTACACAAAAGGAATTCATTCAATGTCCCTGCAGAATATGGCATTTACATTCTCTTTACATCAAGACTGAAGATGGAAACATCAAGCTGTATACAGGCAGGGAAGAACTAAATATCTACTCCAACATATTGGAAATTCACCGCGATACATATCCTGCTATAGAGACAGAAGACACATGGTCATTCAAAAGCTGAAGTCAGGATATAATCATTGCTTTATTCGGTACGATTGGTACAATAACTTCAACAACCGTAATAACGAAAACTGATTACTTCTCCGTGATCACCTCCGGTGGCGGTGGATGATGAAAACAAGTACGGTAAAAGCTCTAATTATAGGCATTGTTCGTTATTACGTACAGCAAAAGTGAAAGCAAATGCAATAAAGCACGCTTTACCGTCTCACGTAAGATTCCCAAATGGGCATTTGGTGAGTTCACTGCACCAGCAGCAAAAGATCATCGCCAACTAGCCCCAAGTACAGATGACAAAACCCATCAAATTTGAAAGTTATTGAATGAAACAATTACAGCACTGCAATAAGAATCAACTGCACACAATTACATTTCCAGTAGTGCATAGTGTGACTTTATATCCATGAAATCATTGCGATTTCAACACAGACAATATATTCACCTGCAGCTTGATAGCATACACTTTAAGGAATGAGACGACTAGTCACTAAACTAGGTATGACTGTACTTTAAGAGGGCGATTAAATCTAGTACATTTTATTAATGCGAACTGTCACAACTGATGTGGGAATATGTCCGTAGACATTTCATCCTCTAGGTATGAAGTACGGAGGGTGGGACCCCACCTAGACACATCAGAGTAGTCATAGTACAATTACAGTCTCATGAAAATTCTATCGAGCCATCGGTGAGAGTTCTAATATTACCCAAGCGTACAATAATTCTAAACTGTGCGCCGATAACGCCTTTTATGGCATATGAATATTTTATCTACCCAAAATGAACTCACTATGTACTGAAATAGAACTGGTAGTTCTTAAAAATAGTACAGGATGCTTCATTAGTGCGACGAAACCTTAAAACTAGGATTTGCAGCTGAAGTAATGTCTTTAGTCCTGAAGTGAAGTAAAGATTTGCTACTATGTACTGAATTAAGTCTTTTTGTTCTGATGTAATACCAGTCAGTGCTGAATCTAGGCTAAAGGGCTGAAATAACGCTGATTAACAAAACCAGTAGGTTCTGAGATACTTCTCAGAATGCCTAGAAAAAACACAAAGCGCAGAATAAGTGCCAGTCATGTTGAAAACCAGCACTGAGTTCTAGTCTGTGCGCATAATCAAACCATTCCAGAACAACTTCAGAATTTATTCATTATAGAATGTTAGAGTCAGTTCAGAATCAGCGAGAATTCGACATTATAGTAATATGCGTGATTAATATGCATAGAACACGGTAATAAACATGATTTTTTAATCTAGGATGACATAAGTAAAACATTTCAGTCCATTAAATTTTCTAGTAAATTCTGACCCAACTTACAAAAGGGATAATTAATCCGTTTCATCAATATTAAATGTACCATTCAAAACACTTACAAACTTTTCTGATACTATAGCCAGCTAACATTAATTTTGGGCACACTGCAGATACTTTGTGGCAGACTGAAGAAAACAGCCCAACTTTCTGCAGTGCATCAGAAAAAATAGTAGCTAGCATAGGGGAGTTTTCAAGATTATTCTAGAAAACCCTAACAGTATTTGTGGTTATGCTTTCAAATATTGACATCTCTTCATAATGTGAACTTGAAGTCGGTAAATATCAACATATAAAGACTCGCCTTCCACCCGTCTGCCTCATAGATACTTGCAACTTAACGCAAGCTAGTTGAATTTCCCTCGGTTCAAATATCCAATATCATGTTTACGAGCTACTATAAATCATGTTAGTTTCCTTGTAGTCGCTTATTGATGTGAAGTAACTGTTCCTGATCTTCAGTAAAGTTTTGAGTAGTATTTCCCACCAATGGACTACCGTAGCTATTGTTTATCCCAAGGGGCAATGGTATGGTAAGTGGTCATCTGTAATTTGAAGAACGTAATTAAGTTAATACCATGCCACTGCTGTAAGTGCATTTGCTCCTGTTACCGATTAGTCGCCTAGTATGTTTGGAAAGAGAGACAACAGTAGCAGGCATAATTACTGTAGATTTTGTAGAATTAAAAAGAAAGACATTCAAACACATAGTAAAATTCATTAATTCTTTCCCAACCTTTCGTCCTATGGTATATTCTGGAGGCACATCATACCCCTTTTTACTCGCCTTTGGACTATTTGAGAAAGACTGACATCCTTTCCAATTAAAGGGGTAGGAATGGTATTTTGCACTGAAGGCACAATCGTACGTATGTCTTGTACAACCTTGGGGAAAACTCAGAAGTGAATGCACCTAACTGTGTACAACTGCATATGCTGCAGTCAGTTTCTCCGTTAGAGCGAGAACTAAGTGACACTGTAGTGTTACAAATGAGAAGCAATGGTCACACAGGGAACAAATCACTCTCTTCGGCGCAGTACCGAGTCATCAATTTTCAACAAAGTGTCTTAATCATGTCCTTCAGTTCTGAGCAGGTCCAGTTAATGTTACGACAGCGACAAAAGCAGTGCGCGGACTTCAAAATGAAATTTATTAAAGTACAAACTAGTAAATTATCTTTACTGATAGTGTTGATTCCATTATTCAGTCAGTCATGAAAGTACAGAGCATTTTATCGGTTGGTGAGTTATTTGCACAGTCCGGTTTCGGTGAGTCCATCAAAAGTGATGTTAAAAGCAGGCGGATAATCTAGATTCTAATAATAATTCAAAATGTAGTGTAGGTTGTACTTGTGAAAAAGCAAGAGATATGAGCAGCTTAGTCGCAGAGATTTTCAATCTGGTTTCTCCTACCTCAAAAGACAATGAAGAATTGTCGCCAATTCCCACCAAATGCTGTGTTTCTGTAAATGCTTCTGAAAATATTTTTAACTTAGTTAATGAAATCCCTTGCGACATTCCACGCTTTTCAAATAGCTCGGAAGATTTATTTCATCTTACAAATCGTTATAATTCGGATCTTTCCGGCATTAAATCGGTTGATAAACCATACCTTTCGGAAATACTATTCGCGAAACTGATTCTGATGGAGCGAGGTTAATTTCTCGTAAAATCTTTAACGAACCTGCATCTGTATTCTTTATCTGCCACAAATTTTAATTCTGATCAAGGAATAATGAAATGACTTCCGTGCTTTTGCTGGTAAAGTCAGGTCTGCATCAATGAAGGATCCCGCACTATTTCAAGGGAGAGGTATGATAGATGGAGTTCGCTCAGGCCACGAAATATCTTCTGATGGTCTCCTAAGTGAAAATCTAATAAAATCGGGAGGTGCAAGAGGAGTGACCATGACTTTTAGCCGTAAAGTTATCATTTATGCAGTCAATCGGATATTATTATTTAAGAGTAAAATTTTTGCTTCCGTGCCAAACATATATGTCTGTAGCGGTAAATAATTCCCCAAAATTATTAACCACAGCAATCATCACTCAACATTGGATGCTGACCATCACTGTTTAAGTCGACTTGTTTAGCTGAAGGCTTTCGGTCAAGCATCCCCGCCAGTTGGTACTCCGTCGTGTCACGTGCGTGCACGATTACTAGCTAGCTAAGCATTCACCTCTACCCGCAATTTTGTCCCGAAATATAATACGTACTTTGGACGACAAAATCTGGTCTTTTGCTTTATCTTTGGTACTCGAAGAGTGAACACTATAGAAGTTGTTGGTATAAGATCTTGCGTTAGTATAATCCGTACAACTTGCGAACGTCAATACAGTTAATCTCCAAACTGGTGAGCCCAACCGCGAAATACATCTTCAATTCACACGCAGATAAACCCGGTGAGTTCGTTCCTTTTTGTGTTTGTTCTTGTACTCGTTTGTAATCGGCATTTTCGTCATGAGTGATCCTAGCCCCAAGGTTATTCGAATTCGCTCAACCGCCAAAACAATCCAGCTAGTACCATATTGGCCAGATAATGCTGAAACGTGGTTTCAGATTGCTGAGTCTGATTTTTGTGAACATGGCATAACTGATCAACGTTCACAGTTCCTTGCAGCTATTCACGCCCTACCGTGGGAATTCAGCAGGTGCGTAACTCTGCAGATGTCGGTAAGTAACTCGTACGAGTTGCTCAAAGCATCCCTCCTCAGGAGAAACGTTCTCACGGATCGACAACGTCTGGATGAGTTATTTCGTAACATCGAGTTAGGAGATCAGTCAGCCGTGAGCATGCTGGCAAGAATGAAAGAGATCATTGGCCAAAGTCAGTTCGATGAAGGACTGTTCAGAGAACTATTTTTATCCAAACTGCCACAGTCAGTTCAGACTGTACTTGTGACACTTCAGGGTGTTCTCATGGATGACTTAGCTGTCTCTGCAGATGGAATTCTAGAGATAACGAAACGGCCAGTTACCGAAGTATACTCAGTTACCGAACAGACTTCGAGTAAGGATTCTGCAATGATAGAGTTATGCAACTCCGTCCAGCAGATGCTTAGGTCAAACAAGCCTAGCAATTCCTCCTACCGTCGTTCTAAATCCCCTCAACGGCTAAACGTACGTGAACGATCTAAGTCCAACACACGTTCTCTCAAAAATCCGGACTGGTGTTGGTATCACAACACCTATGGCAAGGAAGCGAAATGTTGTCGAAAACCTTGTGATTTCGGCAAAGCCTCCAAGTCTGTGGGAAACTATCCCGCCGGCACGCGTTAGCGGCAACCGTCGCCGGTGGCACTAGCCGCTTACTTTACATCCATGATGTAATGAGCCAGACTAGATATCAAGTCGACACAGGCGCCGAAGTCAGCGTCCTTCCTGCTACAGCAGCAGATCGACAGAGGTATCCTAACTTTAACCTACAGGCTGCAAATGGAAAACCAATTGCAACCTATGGTCGGAAATACGTCTATCTGAACGTAGGTTTACGCAAACCTATTCAGTGGATTTTCCTAATCGCTGACGTCACAATGCCCATCATTGGCACGGACCTACTTAATCATCATGATTTGCTCGTAGACGTCCGCCGTAAACGACTAATTGACAACACTACTAGTTTGTCTACCAAAGGCATAACTTACGTAGTCCCCAGCTTGTCAATCGTTAAGATGAAAGCAATCCTCGATCCAACTTTTCAACCGATTGTTGACAAATATCCGGAACTCAATTGCCCATCTAACGATCTCCCGTGTATAACCAGCAATGTTATGCACCACATCATAACCTCAGGACAGCCAGTGACATCTAAAGCATGACGACTGGCCCCTGACAAACTGAGAATTGCCAGAAACGAATTCGATCATATGCTCAACCTTGGCATCATTCGGCCATCGAATAGTCCATGGGCATCCCCATTGCATATGGTACCGAAAAAGGATAGTAACGATTGGCGACCCACTGGTGATTACCGGTGAGTGAACGTCAAAACAACCCTGATTGCTACCCTTTGCCTAACATACACGACTTGACGGCAACGTTATCTGGAGCATCTATATTCTCCAAAATCGACTTGGTTAAAGCATATAACCAAATCCCGATGGCAACGGAAGATATTCCGATAACGGCTATCGTCACGCCTTTCAGACTTTTCGAATTCCTACGTATACCATTCGGCCCCCGGAATGCGGCCTAAACATTCCAACGCTTCATCGATGAAGTATTTCGCGGTCTCGACTTTGTATACGCATACTTAGACGACTGCCTCATTGCCAGTCCAGATAAGGAAACGCACCTTAGACACTTGGACTTGGCATTTGAAAGGTTACGCCAACATGGTGTTACCATCAATATACAGAAGTGTCAAATAGGCGTTGACTCACTCGATTTTCTGGGTCACACTATTGACTGTCAGGGCATTCGCCCACTGGCTACTTCGGTCGATCACTCTAAGAAAACGCGTTCTGGACGTCACGTTAGATTCCCAGAATACCTTCACACCTATTTCACATAACTGAGTGACACATCAATTTTTTAATGTTGCATCACTTAACACAAGTAAACGGTATTTTTCCCATAACCGTACATTAAACATGCACTTAAAAAAATTAAATTAGATGTATATTTTTTTCCCGATATTTTGAACTTTACATTATTTTTACTGTATAGTATGCACGTCATTTTTTTGGTAAAAAATGCTTATTTGGTACATTTTCCTTGACAAGGTTCTCAGCATTCTTGTTTTCTTTTCCAGTTGCAACGGGCACTGGACAGGAAACAAACGAAGCACGGGATCCAACGAACAACATCGAGGAAGCTATGCACAGATACCCTATTAGCATAGGCAGACAGACCAGCAGGCTCTCGATCAAGCTGCTCAGAAGATTTTTTCACCCATCAGGGAACCATCGAGATTTTTTACTTCCGGCTGGTCATGTCTTAGGGTCCTCACAAACCCACTAGGGGGGAGTGAGCTGTAGCGGTAAATAATTCCCCAAAATTATTAACCACAGCAATCATCACTCAACATTGGATGCTGACCATCACTGTTTAAGTCGACTTGTTTAGCTGAAGGCTTTCGGTCAAGCATCCCCGCCAGTTGGTACTCCGTCGTGTCACGTGCGTGCACGATTACTAGCTAGCTAAGCATTCACCTCTACCCGCAATTTTGTCCCGAAATATACTACGTACTTTGGACGACAAAATCTGGTCTTTTGCTTTATCTTTGGTACTCGAAGAGTGAACACTATAGAAGTTGTTGGTATAAGATCTTGCGTTAGTATAATCCGTACAAATCGCTAACGTCGACACCGTCAACCACCAAATGCC